AGTTATAGAATTTATTAAAACTCTCCTTCGATAATTTAAGTTTTGGGTTATAATTTAACCCTTGTAGCTGTGGACTGTATTAAACACTGATTTGTTTTGTATTTGTATTTATTTGTTGCAGTTCTAATTCAATCACTGATTTGTTACTAAGTTTATAATGAAAGAAAATGTATATTTATTTTCATTGGTTATTTACATGTTGTTAAGCGGACTTTACTTTTAGAAGTGACAACTAGTACAATTAATAATAATATTAATAATTGCAAATTTTAGAATTGTAGAATTGCAAAATTCCACATTTGCAGAATTCCACAATTGCAGATTTCTATGTATTTTAATATTGCTATTTTAACAATGCTTATTTTAAGTAGAGGAGGGCAAAAGGGGTGTGACCAGTTTTGGCTTTAAATCAGGCGACGTCACTGTCACGAGATAAAAGACCACGTTGTCAATTTTATAACAAAATTTAGAATTGTTAATTTTTCCATCACTTGTCAAAAACTAGTTGTGGTTTTAACAATGCTATTTGAAAGTAGAGAGCAAAAGATGTGTAACCAGCTGTGGCCTTAAATTGAGCGACGTCGATATCATGAAATAAACCATCATGTTGTCAATTTTGTAACAAAATTTGGAGTAGTTAGTTTTCCAATCACATTTGAGTCAAAAACAAGTCTTGATTTTCACAATGCTATTTTAAGGTAGAGGGCAAAATTGGTCTGACCAGCCATCACTTTAAATCAGGCGACGCCACAATCACGAGATAAAAGACCACGTTGTCAATTTTATAACATAATTTAGAGTTGTTAGTTTTTTCCATCACAATTATGTCAAAAACAAGTTGGGTTTTGACAATGCTATTTGAAAGTAGAGAGCAAAAGATGTGTAACCAGCTGTGGCCTTAAATTGGGCGACGTCGATATCATGAATAAACCATCACGAGTCAACGACCACGTTGTCAATTTCCATACAATTTTTAGAAATGTTAGCTTTTCCTTCACTTTTGTCTCAAAAACAAGTTGTTATTTTAAAGTAGAGGCAAAAAATATCTGGTTTTACATTTATTGCCCTCTGTGGCCTTAAATTGGGCGACGTCGTTATCACAAGATAAATTGCTACATTGTCAAATTCTCAACAAATGTATTTTTTGGTTGTTAGATTTTTTTTTGTTTTGAGCACTGTTATTTAGTTTACTATACCTAAATATAATTTTTAAGTATGTATACGTTGTTTGACAAAGCGTGTTGTTTATTTTATTTATTTTATGATTTTTTTTATGTTGAGTAAAGTATGTTATTTTTCACAATGCTATTTTAGGTATGGGGCAAAAGGTGCGTGACCAGTTTTGCCCTTAAAGCAGGCGACGTCACTGTCACGAGATAAACGACCACGTTGTCAATTTTGTAACAAAAGTATAATGTTTAGACTTATTAGTTTTTTTCTGTTTTGAGCACTGTTGTTTAGTTTACAAGACTTGAATATGATTTTCAAATACACAATATATTGTTCGACAAATTTATGATTTTTTTGTTTTTTTTTTAGGAAGTACACAATTACTAATACAATTCTAAATACAATTAATGATAATATTAATATTAATTACCAGGGGTAGCAACCATTCCCTGTAATGCCCTGAAGTTTGTCACCTTCATGGTCAATATAATAAAACGAAAAAACGTCCGAACAACTTGATTGACGAACATACTTGTCTTGACAAATGTATTAACTGGTTGATTTTTATTGTTTTAGGGTTTTACGATTCCGGCAATGTACGCCTTGTTTTCCAAGTGGACGCCTCCAAAAGAGAAGACGCTGCTTTTGGGTTTTGCCTACAGTGGTTTTCCAATGGGTAACATTATTGTTTACCCTTTGTCCAGTGCACTTTGCAGACTTGATTTGGATGGAGGTTGGCCCTTGGTTTTTTATTGTATAGGTAAGAAGCAGATCAATTAATAATTATCTTTGAAGGATTATGTTTAGATCTCATCACTTTTTATAAATTGCAGTATTTAAAATTGCAGAATTTTAGAATTTTAGAATTGCAGAATTTTAGAATTACAGAAATTGTAGAATTGCAGAATTGTCGATTTGTCGAATTGCAGAATTTTAGAACTGCAGAATTTTAGAATTTTCAAAATTAGACATTTAGAGAATTCCACAATTGCAGGATTTCAAAATCGCAGAGTTTCAAAATTGCAGAATTCTATGTATAGTATTTTTTAACAAAGCTATTTTAAAGTAGAGGGCAAATGTGTAGCCAGCTGTGGCCTTAAATTGGGCGAATTGCAGAATTTTAAGATTGCAGAATTTTAAAATTGCAGAATTTTAAAATTGCAGAAGTTTTAAAATTGCAAAAGTTTTGAAATTGCAAAAGTTTTAATATTGCAGAATTTTAAAATTGCAGAATTATAGAATTAGCAAAATTAGACATTAGAATTCCACAATTGCAGAAATTTAGAAATGCAGAATTGTCGAATTGCAGAATTTTTAATTTGCAGTGTTTTAAGAATTGCAGTATTTTAACAATAGCAGAATTTTAAGAATGGCTAAATTGTAGAATTGTAGAATTGCAGAATTGCAGAATTGCAAAATTGCAGAATTGCAGAATTGCAAAATTGCAGAATTGCAGAATTTGCAAAATTGCAGAATTGCAGAATTTGCAAAATTGCAGAATTGCAGAATTTTAGAATAGCAGAATTGTAGAATTGTAGTATTTTAAGAATTGCAGTATTTTAAGAATTGCAATATTTTAAGTGTTGCAGAATTTTACAATTGCAAAATTGCACAATTTTAGAATTGCAAATTTGTTGAATTGCCGAATTTTAGAATTGCAGAATTTTATAATTGGAGAATTTTAAAATTGCAGAATTTTAAAATTGCTGAAATTTAGAATTGTAGAATTGTAGAATAGCAGAATTTTGAGAATTGCAGTATTATAGAACAGGAGAATTTTAGAATTGCAGAATTTCACTATGGCAGAATTTTAAGAATTGCAGAGTTTTAATAACAGCAGCATGTTAACAATTGCAGAATTCAACAATTACAGAATTGTAGAATTGTAAAATTGCAGTATTTTAGGAATTACAGGATTTTAAAATTGCAGAAATTTGGATTTGCAAAATTTTGAATTTGCAGAATGTTAGAATTGCAAAATTTTACAATTACAGAATTTTGTAATTGCAGAGTTCCCCAATAGCAGAATTCTATGTATGATATTTTTTAACAATGCTATTTTAAAGTAGAGGGCAAAAGAACCAGCCTTAAATTGGGCGACCTTACTGTCACGAGATATAAACGACCACGTTGTCAATTTTGTAACAAAATTTAGAGTTGTTAGTTTGTTCATCACATTTATGTCAAAGACAAGTTGTGGTTTTAACAATGCTATTTTAAAGTAGAGGGCTAACATTTTGATGTAGATTTTTTAACAAAAGTATTTTTTAGTCTTATAGTTTCTGTGGTTTTGAGCACTTTTATTTAGTTTACAAGACTTGAATATAATTTTTAGGTGCACAAGGTATTATTCTACAATTTTATGATATTTTTGGTTTTTTTTTTCAGGAAGCTTCGCCATCATATTGGGTATACTTTTGTACTTCCTAACATTTGATGATCCAGGTGACCATCCAAGAATTTCAGAAGCTGAAAGAAACTATATAAAGTCCTATCATATGAAGAAGTTCTCAAAGGTAATCATAAGTTAAAAATCATAAGACAACCTTGATCTTTTTTTCTCGTCCATGTAGACCTTACATTTATTATCCTCCTTTATATTTTTCAAATATCCAATTTTTTCCAGAAACTGAAGACACCCTGGATATCAATGCTAAAATCAATGCCAATCTACGCCTACAACGTTGCCCATTTTGCCCAATCCTGGAGTTTCATCACATTGGCCACCAGTATTCCAATGATGTTGAAGGATATGCTGGGTCTTGATATGAAATCGGTAAGATGATAATATTTATTACCAATAAGATATTGCAATTTTTTTTATATATTCTGTTGTTCTTTTTCCAGAATGGTTTTCTGTCAGCTCTGCCCTATATCTGCAGCTACATCTCCAGATTCACGATTTCCGTCACTTTTAATCCCATAAAACGACTGACCAGGTTGAGTTTGACGAATATGAGGAAGGTTAATCATGTACTAGGTGAGTATATGAGTTGTATATGATAAATAGTGAAATTGCAGAATTTCATAATCAGAAAAAATGCATGAATTTTAGAATACTAAATTGAATATCTTTTGAAATTTTGAAATTACAGAAACTTATATATTGTTGAATTCTATAATTTAATAAATATTGAACCATGACAATTTTTTGAATGGAAATATCCTGTTATTATGATGTTCTAATATATCTGTATATCTAGTATGATCTAATCCAGTAAAGTATATTATGAGAGCAAAATTTGTCAAAATTATAAAATTTCATATTTGCAAGATTGCAGAATTTTAAAATTTTAACAATATAAAATTACATACGTCTCAATTGCTAAATTTTCAAAATTGCCAAGTCCAAGTCCATGGTGACAAAATGTCGAAATTGCAGAATTCCACAATTGCAGAATTTTAGAATTGCAGAATGTTAGAATTTTAAGAATTGCAGTACTTCAGGAATTGCAAAATGTTAGAATTGCAGAATTTTAGAATTGCAAAATTCTAGAATTGCTGAAATTTAAAATTTGTTAGAATTGCAGAATGTTAAAATTGCAGAATTTTAGAATTGCAGAATTTTAAAATTGCAGAATTTTAGAATTGCAGAATTTTAAAATTGCAGAATTTTAGAATTGCAGAATTTCATTATTGCAGAATTTTAAAATTGTCTAATATCAGAGTTGCAGAATTTTAGAATTGCAAAATCACAAAGCAAAATTCCAAATTTGATAAATCCTGGAGTTGCAGAATTCTATTTTCAATAAATTGCATGAATTGCAAAAATCAAAATTTATTAAATTCTAAGATTGCAGATTTCCATAATCAGAAAATTGCATAAATTGCAGAATTCCAAATTCAATAGAACCGCAAAATACATAATGACATAATTGAGAAATTGCATAAATTGCAGAATTTAAAATTTAATTAAATAATTAATAAAGTAATCGAAAAGTTGCATAAGTTGCAAAAATCCATAAAAAGCACAGAATTACATATTTAATAAATTCTGAAATTTCAAAATTGCGTATTCGGATAATTGCATAAATTGCAGAATTTTAAAACTGAAGAATTCCAAAATTGAGAAATTTTAAAATTGTAAGATGGCATTCCAGAATTGCAGAATTTTAAAATTGTAAATTTACGTTTCAGAATTGCAAAATTTTAAAAATTGTAAAATTATAGAATTTTCATCTAATTCTGGAATTGCATAATACCATTGATTGTGGAATTTATAATTTAACAAATTCTGAAAATAGAGAATCTCATTATTGTGAAATTACACAGTTAAAAATATCTAAATTTGATAAAATCTGTAAATGCGAATTTCATAATCAGAAAAAAACATACATTTCAAAATTCAAATTCAATGAATTCTGAAAAAACAGAATACTGTAAATTGCAGAATTCCATAATTTATTAAATTCTGAAAATACAGAAAACTATAATCAAAAAATTGTATAGTTTGTCGAATTCTAAAAATGTAAAATAATAAATTTATGAAAATTAAATAATATATTAATAATAAAATAATAATAAATAATAAATTAATAGAATTACAACATTCCAAAATTGCAGAAATTTAAAATTGTAAATTACAAATTGTGAAATTCTGAAAGTCCTGAATTTGCAAAATTCTGTAATCAGAAAACTGCAGAATTTTATATTTATGAAATTTTACAATTGAAAATATCTAAATTTGATAAATTTTGAAATTACAGAATTGCATAATGAAAAAGTTGCACAAATTACTGAAATTTAATAATGCAGAATTTTCAATTTGTACTATTACACAATCCAAAAATGCAAAATTTTAAAATAACAGCATATCAGAATTTCAGATTGTAATTAGTCAGATATTCAAAATTTTAAATTTGTGAAATTGAAAAATTTATAATTGAAAAAATTGCAAAAAACTGCAGAGATTTACTGAATTGTAAGATTTGAAATATGCAAAATTAGCAATTGTAAAAAAAAAATAAATTCTAAAATTACAAATTAACTAAATTTCACATTGCTAAGTTTGAAATTGACCAAGTGTCATAAATGTATATTTCCATTGTAAATTCCTAAGTTGCAAGATTCCAAAAAATTCCTACATTGCAAAATAAATGTGTAAGCGCGTGTTGTACGTGCTGGGAAGTACCAGCAATTTGCCTTAAGGCACGATGCCATACACCACTAGTCCAATTCCAATCAACCAACCACAATAATCTTTTCCCATCCCCAGGCACCGCCATCCCAGCCTTGAGCCTACTCTGTCTCGGCCTAATAACCAGAGAAGACAAATTCTGGGCAATCCTGTTGATATCCTTATGCACAACATTCACCGACGTCGGCCTGACAGGCTCATACCTGATGAGCTACCTGGAACTGGCTCCACCTTTTGCCAGTTCCTAACAGGATTCTCTAATACTGTCGGATCTCTTCCTGGATGCGTTTCTAACACATTGACTGGATACTTAACCACTAATGTAAGTAGATAGGGTAAAAAGATAGAGGATATTTATGTTTGTGTTTGAAGTCGTTCTGAATCGTTTGTGTGTAATTATAATAATGAAATTAAGTCATACTTCAAATACGACATGATCGGTTTGTCATTGTAATTAGCGTTTAGGAAAAGAAATGAAAGTAACTGCTGATTCATAACTTTTATAATATTTACCACAGTGGATTATGTTAAACAACGCCTAAACAAATATTGTTTTCGCAACTTCACTCATCATGTAATAATTGTGTTTGAAGAACTTCATGTAATTAAAATTAACATACATTCATTGACTGCTTGTATTTTTTTTGACTATTTCGCTGGCTATACAGTCTCATTCTTTGAACAGATATAATATCTGTCTTGCCTAAAAAATTGAAGCCATACTTTTTATTTGTTTTATTTATCAAGCCCTGCACATGGCTTGATCTATGAATCATTTTCTTTTTTATGTGAACGTTAGTTAATGCAATGATCATCATCAATATTACGAGGTAATAAATTAACCATATATTAATGTCAACAGGCACATTTATAATTTGGCCAAATATTCCAAATTGTCCATTTGAAAGTCGCAATTTTAAAAATGTGTATAATATTTAAAAACAATAATGTAATTAAAGTCATACTTCAAATATGTCATGATCGGTTTGTCATCGTAATTAGCATTTAGAAATGAACTTTTGTTAGAGAAATGAAGTAAAGTAATTGCTGATTAAAAATTCTATAATTTTCGTTAAACAACGCCTAAACAAATATTGTTTTCGCAACTTCACTCATCATGTAATAATGTGTTTGAAGAACTTCATGTAATTAAAATTAACATACATTCATTGACTGCTTGTATTTTTTTTGACTATTTCGCTGGCTATACAGTCTCATTCTTTGAACAGCTGTTATATCTGTCTTGCCTAACAAATATTTTCCATTTTAATAACGAATCATTACCTGGATGCGTTTCTAACACATTGACTGGATACTTGACCACAAATGTAAATAGATAGATCAATAGATAAAGGATATTTATGTTGGAGTTTGAAGTCATTCTAAATCGTTTGTGCGTACGTAATATTAATAATGAAATTAAAGTCATACATCAAATACGACATGATCGTTTGTCATTGTAATTATCATTTACGACTTGAACCTTTTTAGAGAAATGAAGAAGTAATTGATGGTTAATAAATTCTATAATATTCAACAGAAGACAGCCCTGTAATACAACAATCTTAAATAATTTCATTAACACTATCAATAAATAAATTGCATAGATGATATTAGGTTGTCAAATATCTCCCTTCCGCCTTTTTGTCTTCTGAATTATAACTGTTGAACGCAATATCCAAACTAATCATGCATAGCGTCGTTTTGTAGGTTATGTCAAGACCTTTCAAATTATGTATAGTATTGCCAGATACGAGCTCTGTAGCGCTTGTTACATAGCCGCGAAATCAAAAGACAACTAGCTGTAAGTGGAATTCTGTCTTGAGGCATTTATGGCATCGTGCCTTAAGGCAATGCCTGGAACTTCCCGTACCGAAATGTTCGAGGAATACTGAATGTTTTCAAATAGATTATTATAAATATTGTAACATTGTCTAATATTTATGAGAATTATATAAACTGAATTGCAGAGAGTTGAAAATATTTGTAAAGTATATTAGAACTATAGCCAGAATTAAAATAAAATCTGAAATATTTTTGATAAACTAAAAAAAAAAAAAAAAAAAAAAAAAAAAAAAAAAAATTGAACAAATTTTTTTTTCCAAAATCAATTATTTTGTTAAGACAAGCAGAAAGTTCTTTGAATCATTTAAATCGGACGCTTAGTTCTCTCAAAAACTGCCATTTTTTACATATTTAGCTCCATATCTTCGAAATGGCTGGGCCTGCCTTTGCCAAAAACTAATAGCACTTCTCCCAATCATTACTAATTGAATGCTTTTTAGATCATTCAAATCAGATACTCCGTTCTCTCAAAAATTCGATTTCTATTTTCTGCACTCTTGCTCCGTATCTCCGAAACGGCTGGACCTGCCTTTGCCAAAAACTAATCAGCTCTTTTCCCTATCAATAGGAATCGAATGTTGTTGAACCATTCAAATCGGTTGATCCGTGCGCCCTAAAACGTGACTGGAAATTTGTATCCATACATACATACACACACACACACACACACACACACAACACACACACATCCATTTTTCTGAGGTATGCCAAAACGTTCAAAAACCTTCAAAACGTCGAGAAATGTTAAAATTTTCAATTCCGATTTTCGGCCCATTACAATAACTTACCCTACGGGGAAGTAAAAGGCGGAAGGGGAGATATTTGACAACCTTATATATGAAGTAATCTGTCTATAAATGCTTTCTCGTTTTCTACTCGTCGAGACCTTTCAACGAAACCCCACATGCCATAAAAGATTTAATCTAAAATTTTTGAAGTGAAACTTCTTTAGGCACTATGCTAGAAATTCGTAAAAAGTTTTGTTGGTTTTAGTATTTTCTACATTCCCAGTTATTAAAGAAATCAAATCATACTACAAACTATTGTTGTTCTTGATTTTGTGTTTAGAGTAATAAATCTGAATATAAATTTAATCTTCATTATTATAAAAATATGCAACTTTGAAATACTTTACGTCAGGATCAGTAAAACGAAATTGTAAGCTTGACAGTGCAAATCATTAAATACCAATTTCTTTTTATTCGTTGAATTCTCCCATTTTGTCCCCATTTTTAGAAATAACAATTAATCTATTACTTCATGTAATTAAAATAACATACATTCATTGACTGTTGTATTTTTTTCTTGACTATTTCGATGGCGATATAATCTATTCTTTAAACATCTGTCGTGTCTTAAAAATATTTTGCCATTTTAATAACTTCAAGATTCATAGAAACTGCGAATGATATAGAAATAATTTCTATAAGAATTTTAAAATGCAGAATTCTAGAATTGCAGAATTTCACAATTGCAAAATTCCACAATTGCAGACTTCCACAATTGCAGAATTCCAAATTACAGAATTTTAGAATCGGAGAGTTTTTGAATCGCAGAATTTTAGAATTGGAAAATTCCACAACTGCAGAATTCCAAATTTGCACAATTTTAGAATTGCAGAAATTCACAACGCAGAATTTTAGAATTGCAGAATTTTTGAATTGTAAAATGGCACAATAGCAAAATTCCAAATTTGTTAAATTATAGAACTGCAGAGTTCCATACTCAGAAAATTTCATAAAATACACAAATCTAATTTTATTAATTTTTAAAATTGCTGAATTGTATAAATTGCCAGAAATCTAAATTTAATAAGTTCTAAAATCGCTGATTTTTATACTCAAAAAATTACATATAAACTGCAGAATTCAAAACTTATTACATTAAATATGAAAAAATCTAAATTTATTAAATTCTAAAATTGCCAGAATTTCATATTCGACAAAAATGCATGAATTGCAGAAATCTAAATTTAATAAATTCTAAAATTGCCAAAATTCAAAACTAATTACATTCTAAAATTGCAGAATTACATAAACAGAAAATTGCATAAATGCAGAATTTCGAATTCAATAAAATCAGAAGTTGCAAAATGCATTATCGGAAAATTGCATAAATTGCAGAAGTCCTCATTCAATTAATTCTGAAATTGATAACTATCAAAAAATTGAATAAAATACAGAATTTAAAATTTAATAAATTATGTAATGCAGAATTTCAAATTCCAAACAAAAAATAGCATAATTCTAGAAAATAGCGGAATTCTAGAAATGTAAAATACTAAATTTATGAAATTACACAATCGCAAAACTACAGCATTACAGTTCTGAATCGTTTGTGTGTAATC